GTTTTCCACGTTAAAAATCTTGGTGTTGATTTTGTGATTATTTGCATTATATTTGGTCATTGTTTGATTCTGTTTTACTGCACAAAAAGAGAAAGAATTGAGACTTGTGAATTGTAAATTGTATTCCAGTGAATTAATCCGGGTAAATTAGTTTCTGGTTATTCTTAGTTTTCCCAACATATATATATATGATCTCCCTCGATTCCACTGAATTGATCCGGGTAAATTAGTATCTGGTTATTCTCCCTCCTAGGCTTAACAGGATTTAATGGACTAACAGCATATGTTGGGCTTTTTGAAATATGTAGCCCAGGAAGGGAGAAAGGGTGTTTGTATCTGCTGCTTGTGGATCAGCTGGAAATTTGGCGGGTCAGTATGCAAAAACGCCGGGCTGCTATGTGGTAGGAAGTGCTGCAAGCAGTGATAAGGTGAGAAGCCGAATTTCTGATTTTGTATTTTAAAAATATTTTTAAAATAAATTTATTTGTTAAAAAAATCATTATTTTTTATTTTTTTAATATTCTAATGTAAAAAATAAATTATAAAAAATAAAAATATTATTTTAATATATTTCTAAATAAAAAATACTTTAAAAAATATTATTATAATACTAAATACTCTTAATGTTATGCGATAAAAAAAAGTTCTTACCTTAGCTTCAGATGCAGGTAGCATTGCTAAAGGAGAAGCTTGGTTTTGATGATGCATTCAACTACAAAGAAGAACTGATTTGAAATCCACACTCCAAAGGTAAGTAAAGGTTGAACTGTTAACATTAAGATGCACGGGTGTTGAAAAATAAAGGTTGAACTGTTAACATTAAGATGCAAGGGTGTTCAGAATTATTTTTTAAAATATTTTTATTTAAAAATATATTAAAATAATATTTAAAAAATTATTTTTAATATCAGTATATCAAAACGATTTGAAAACACTAAAAATTAATTTTAAAAAAATAAAAAAAAATTAATATTTTAAAACTAAAAAAACAAATGTACTCATGAACCTAAAAAAAATAAAGTTATTGTCAAAAAAATAATTTCAATTCAATAGTTTAAGTTATTAGATGAGATTCTAATATATGATTTATATAATTTTTTAACACATCTTCTCTAGACTGTTTAGTTATCAAGGTTTTCATATTATATAAAAGGATAATTTTAATTCAATAACTTAAATTAAGTTTTCAGGATATAATTTATATAATTTCCTAACAACTTTCGAAATAATAAAATAAAAAAATGGTAACTAATAATAATTAAATGAAAAATAATGGTAGGTTAGTCACAAAATTCAATTTGATCAAATGATAATCGATGCTCAAAGATTTATATTAAGTTGATTGAATAGTATGATTTAGTTGACCAAAAATACTAAAACATAAAATAAAGCAAACACATAGTTTTAAATTATTCCAATATTAACGTCGACAAGGGAAATGGATGAATCATGAATAAAAAATCACTAATCAACATTATATTATAGACTGCAAAAAAAACCCTAGAAATGAGCCTCTGAAAGTGCACTTTGACCTCTACTTAGCTATGTTATCAGCATTATATTATAGAGCTTTAAATCAGCTTTTCGAGTTAAGCTATATATATATATAAAGGATTTAATTTTTTCCCATGTGATTGCCTTTTTATTCCCACACTTCACAGGTACTTCCCTGACGGCATCGATATATATTTTGACAATGTTGGGGCAGAAATGCTAGAAGCAGCAATTGCTAGTATGAACAAGCTCGGTAGAGTAGCAGCATGCGCGGTATTTGCTGGGTATACAGATGGTGGAAAACGAGCAGCACCGAATACGATAGACAATATATACAAGAGGATTAAAATCCATGGATTCATTGGCACTGATCACTCGAACCTTCATTCATATTTTATAACTACAACAATTGATTATATCCTTAGTCGTAAGCAAGGGCAGAGCCTTTTAGAAGGCTAAGGTGGGCTGTAGCCCAGGTAACAAAAAAAAAATTAATACATCTTTCTAACCTATTCTTTCACATCTCGTGAAAAAGAATATCCAAAGATAAAGAATGCATCCACGCAGGCATGGGTGTTCAAAACTTTGGCAACGATAATTAATACAGGCGAACATGAACCGAAGGGTTGGCAGATTTTTGTAGGTTTTCAGCACAAGGAAATTTTAGTGTCTGCTTCTAGGGCAATTGCCATCGATGGCGATGACTTCCTGTGGCAATTGGCAATGGGACAATCTTCGCAGGAAATTCACAGGTTGACCTCAAGACTGCAATTGAAGCAGCTGGAGATTTCACCCAGATTTCAGCATACATTAAGATTACAGGTTTGGTGTTTAGAATTAAGCCACCAGGAGTGTCTATGCCAAAGAATATCAAACTCGTGAATGATGGGGGCCACTTTTTGATTGCAGCCAAAGAAAGAATGCCAAGAATAAGGACATAACTGGGAGTTGATAAACATGTTATAATTGATGGGCTAAGAAGCCAATGTTGAATAATTTTGTTGATGTAAAGATAGTTGAAATTATTAATTGTTAAAAATAAAGGTTAAAATTAAAATAAATTTAATTTATGATGATAATATTATAAATTTATGCAAATATTTTAATAAAAAAATTTTTAATTATTAGTAGAGTAATGATGGAGTTAGGTATGCATTTTTTATGTATGTAGAGAGTCTATATACCACTTATATATATTTTGTATAAAAAGGTTATAGGTTGTTCATGTCAACATAGGTGCAATAATAGTTTACTAACATTATTATTATGATATATTTAATCTAATAATAGATTTTTAGTTGGAAGAATTAAATTCTAGATTTAGTGATGGGATAGTGAAACTCCATGTATTTAGATCTGATTTAAAATCTAAGGACAACTTTAAATCATTGAAAGTTGATACTATTTACAAGTTTGCTGAAAAATTTTATTCTGAAGATTTCAATAAATATTTATGCAAATATTTTAATAAAAAAATTTAAATTATTAGTAGAATAATGATAGGGTTAGATGTGTATTTTTGATGCATGTAGAGAGTCCATATATCACTTATATATGCTTTGTATAAAAAAGTTATAGGTTGTTCATGTCAACATAGGTGCAATGATAGTTTATTAATACTATTATTATGATATATTTAATTTAATAATAAATTTTTAATTGGAAGAATTAAATTCTAGATTTAGTGATAGGATAGTGAAACTTCATGTATTTAGATCTAATTTAAAATCTAAGGATAACTTTAAATCATTGAAAGTTGATGCTATTTACAAGTTTGCTGAAAAATTTCATTCTGAAGATTTCAATGAACAAGAAATGTATTATTTAAGATTTTAACTAGAACATTCAGATTAGTGTGATTTATCATAAGAGCTTTTAGAATATATTTACTAGTTTTGAATTATATCGAAGATTAGCTTAAACAAATAAGTCGTAGCATCATCATTTGATTGACAAGTTGATTCGTTTTATTTTGATTTTGTTTGTTTCCACTGCTACTACAAAACGAACATTTTCAGTTATAAAATATGTTAAAACTATATTTTGTAATAAAATAAAAGAAGAGTTCTTAGCAGATTCTATAGTGATTTACATTAAATGAGAGTTTGTTTAAGATATTGATTCAGATTTGATCATATATAAATTTTATTCTACAAAATATCGAAAAGTGCAACTTTAATAATATAATTTATTTTTATTTTGAATTTTATGTACTTAATTTTTATTTTAAATTTTATATACTTTAAATTTTATTTTTTTATATTTTATGTTATGTATTTGAATTAAAATTTTATTATTAATTTAATAAATTTATATATCTGATTAAATAATTAATTTTAAAAAATAATTTATATGTATTTATTTCTTAGTTTAGGACAGAAAAAAATCCTGCTCCGCCCTTGATGGTAAGATTAAGGTGTTAGAGGACATATCTGTTGCTCTGGAGACCATCCCTTCAGCTTTCACTTGACTATTTCACGGTCATAATGTTGGGAAGCAGATTGTTAAAATTGCAGATGAGTGATTGGGAAGGGATAGAAGCCTCTTTCTTTCTTTTGGAACAATAATTTGCTATGATTATTTCCTTAATATTGTTGTTAAATGGGCATCATTACCATTAGCAGTATTATTGTATTATTTATTCTGGTACAGCATTTCGATCTCTAAACTATGGGTATCGGTTTATACGATATTTTTGAAGAATTTATAATTTGTTTGTACAACATTTCTTCTTGATATGAGCCCTTCATACACTGTGTTCTATAAAGTCTCAAATCACAGGGCTTTAAAGTTGAATTTATACCTCGTACGGTAAGTCATAATTAGGGTTTTGAGAATATTAACATGATTTATTACGTTGGTGAAGTTCAAATCATTGGTTTGAATTATAAAGATTATTTTCTCTATAAGGAATATTGTAAAACCATTAATATAAAAAAATCAACATATGGTTTAGGTTTTACAAACGTGATGATGGATTGTGTTATCGAAGAATTATTTCCTACCGTTAAAAAATGGTAGAAATTCTCGTTACCCCACACATGGCAATCTTTTGAATTATCCAAATGCGATTGTAAGTACAATCATTAATCTTTACTTAAGAAATAAATCTTCTTATAGACTAATTATTGTATTATAGATCAATCAAAGATTGTAATTGACTAAATTTAAAAAAATTAATTAATTGTATCCACGCATAATATATATATATAGCTTTTTGAAAGGTTTCTGTGTGCTACGAAGAAGGAATTCCTACTATCCAAGAGAATAAAAAATTATCGTTCTGTGTTAGCTCGAGGAGAGCCGAATCCAAGTAAACTATATATTTTAATATATTAAAATATTGCTTCTTTATTTTAATTTCTTATGTTTCCATCAATAGAGAAGTCCCTTTTCATTAAAGGCAGTCAAAATAATCCTTACAAGCTAACCCCCTCTCGTTTGACAATCCTGTTCAAGGGTAGATAGATGAATGTAACGGCAGCTCATTTATTATTAGACAACGTAAGCTTGTTAGCCTGTGATTCTTTCTCTTGGTTATTTGGTCCACAGCTTTAAATTGTTTCTATTGTAGTCCCTTGTGCTTCTTTTTCCTCTCGATTAGCACCCCTCTATTAAGGTTCAATTTCCATCCATTAAAAAATTTAGCAGAGCCTCATGCATAAACCAGTAAGACAGTGGCTCCTTTCCTTTAAACGACTGATCACGACATAACTTGTTCATCGCCGATAGATAAAGCAGTGACATTCCAAAGAAATTGATAGAACATAGGAACCAGTTATCAGATGTTTAAGATATTAGGGACCAAGTTGTTGTTGACTAAAGGTTGCAACCATTTTTCTTTCTTTGGTTCGTTTTTCAAAAACAATATGCATTTACGATGGTGTGCTCTTACAGTTTTTGCGCCAAACGTTGCCAAAGAAAGTACACTAGCCATCATTTAATGGGAAGCAGCCAAAAGAGAAAAGGAGAGTTAAAATTGGAAGTTAACAAGGCAAGGCAAAGGGCGATGTTCCATGACTCTTCATGGACTATATATAATGTTATAGAGGATGAGACGCCTGGCACGGTCATCAAGAAACGTGTTATGGATTTCGGTGCACTTTTTGCCGCGTGGGCTTTTAACCTCCCCCTCCTCCTCCTCCTCCTGATCCTCCTGGATTGAGTATTATACGAGTGGAACTGTTTAACCCCTGCTGCTTTTGGAGATCTGTTAGTGAGGGATAGCACAAGAGGCTAATATGAATTGGTGGCATAAGATGAGGAAAGCATGGTTTGCTATCTCTTCAAGAGTCAAGTTTCACAAAGCTGGTTTGTTTTTACTTCTTATCATTGTTTATTTCCTTTTACTGCACCAGAGTCTTGTCCATTGTAGATGGAAATGTAACTTGCTTGAACCCATGATTGTAGTCTAATACGAGAATTGATGTTGATGTCATTGTTTTATGATTAAGCAGGTTCAGGAGGTGGCAGGGGTGGTGTGACTAGTAGGAGTGCTAGTGGTTGGTTGAAGTTGCAAGATGATGTACAAATGTGTGGGTATAAAGATGTGGAAGTGATGTGGAATATGTTTATTGAATCCAATCGACAGCAAATGGCAGCAGCATCAGCAGCAGTGACCTCAATTTCAAAACCCACCAGCAAGCAAAACCAAGGGCCTTCTTCTTTGAGGTCTTTCTTTTGGTGTAACAACTCTCCAACTACTACTACAGCTTCGTTTACTTCATTAAATCAAGTTCTAATTACCACAGCACAAAAGGATACGGAAATAATTGAGGGGTAGGGTACTTGTATTTAGTTTAGTTTTTGCTCATTGAGAAAAGGGAAATGGGGTATACGCTTTCCGAAACATTTGTGCTCTTAGGAATACAGTTCACCAGAATTATACAAATTACAGTATTTTACAACCACTCAAGTTTTCTTCTTTGGTTACATATTCTTAAGTTTATAGGTAAATTCTTGGACCTTGGCTATCTATATATGTAGTACCATCAACATTTCTTCAACTAAGAACACGAATATTTTTGCACGTCCATATTGAGAAAGCACTTGCCATTCAGAATCAGACTGGGGGTTGAGTTCTGAACCTAAAACCTTGCAGGGGAGAAAACTGTAAAAAGAAAGTTTCTAACTTTTGGAAAATGGAGAACTTGGGGATTGAACTCAGTTGAGCACGCACTTTTCCAGTAAGATTAATTATTAGTGATTTTGTGGTTGGCATGTCGTGCTGATATATGTGAAGAGTCATAGCTCTTGGATCCTGGTGAGTGAACCTTTTGTCCTTGGAAATTTTGAAAACTACGGTCAATGGAATGCTGACCCTTCAAGTTTCTCTTTCTGGATAATCCAGACTGTAAAACTTTGGTTTGAGCCCTTGTGGTATGTTTTCAACTGAATTCCTAAGACTTCTGCTACTTGCTATGCACTGTATCCTGGTCAAAATCCGGTTCAACATTTTATCCCAACTAAATTCACTACTTGGTAAGATATTATCCATCAAAAAGCAATTAAAAGAAACATGTTTTGATAGTTTCAACATGATCGTCAGTATTTAAAGGAAAAGGGATGGTACTAGCATTGCTAGTTATCGTATCATTTATAGGCAAATCGCCTGAATTAAAGCATCAGGAAAGAGCATAAAACAAAAGACAAGTCTTAAGAACTGAGTTCAAGGAACCTTTGTGCCATGGGATGCTTGGCTTCAGATAATTCATCAGGAGGCAAACCACATCAGCATTCCTCTGAGTTTGTTTGACGCTGCGAGAGACCATAATAACTGGCAGCCTTTGTTGTTGCTTTAATTTCAGAAGAACATCCTCTATGTTTTGTGTGATAGTGAATCCAATGCACCGGTTGGCTCATCCAGCAGCAAAACCTTTTAAAACACATGGAATAACAGAGGATTCGATGCATGAAAACACGATGCAAAGCAACTCATTCAAATCGCCAAGAATGTCCGTGCATTTCAATAGGCATTACCTCGGGTTCATTCGCTAGAGTCCTAGCAAGTGCAACTCTTTGATCTTGCCCGACAGATAACTCATTAAATTCGAAGTTAGTAGATTAGTATCTTTTAAATTTAAATTTGTTTGAATTTCTTTTCTATTTAAGTGCTAGTCAAGTAGAATTTTGGGATTATAGAAACTATTTTTATATTTTTTTTTAATTATATCTTTGTAGTTAATTTCTTTTAATTCAATAAAACCTCAATTATTAGATTTGTTACATAATCTTTTTGTGAAAGGAAGAATCAAGGTTCGCAAGCTAGAGCAACTTGTAAACCTCATCGTCGGTAAGCTTCTTCCCCTTCAATTGTGGTCCTTATCTTGCGTTATCTGCAACTGTGCCTGACAGATCCTATAGCGTTTCTTATAGGTACCAGACATATATCCGTCTAGTAAACCGAAGATAAGGAGCTAATATCGCCATCTGCTGTTGCTGCTACAAGTGGGATTTCAAGTGGGAAGATGCTGCATCCCAATCCCAAAGGAAGAGTCAATATTGTTATCTCCAAGAAGCATGGCAGTAGGCACGCAGTGGTGGTTAAATGCATCGCAGTGAAATACTTACTGGTATGCTTAAGAAATAATTACAACACTGCAGCAATTAGGCATTCTACCATCATAATATTACATAGAAGTAGACAAGAGCACAGAAAAGAAGATTATAGCTACTTCAGATTTCAGAAAACAACAATCAGTGTCTGGCCAGCCAAATGCCAATCAACATTGATGACATGCTACTTGATCTGGAGAAGACTCTCTAAGGATTCCGAAATCAAAACGGCCTCAAACTTCCTAAGCTATAATCTACAAAAAGCTCTTTGCTTTTTAAGGGCTAGTTTAAAAAAAAAGTAATCTAACCAATATCATCCCACCCTCTAAGATGATTTATGCTGGGCTATTAACACAATCACCCCACCAATTACTAGAAAAATAAAAAAAGAGTAACTTGAAACAATTATTATTAAACATTAACAAGCATATTATACAGTTTTTGATTGATAAGACAACGAGTCGAAACATAATTTAAACTCTATGTCACAGGTCTTGCGAAGATGAGATGAGTAACAGGGGAAGAAGGAATCAAGACATTTGGATTACATGACTGTTGAAGGAATTGTAGGGCTATCTCAAAAACGCACTGTTTACTCATGTAAAACGCACCATTTACCAAGTTGTTATTTATATCAAGTTAAGAGAACGATCACATGTTGGCTTAAGCATGAGGTACTATTAGCTACTCTTAGTTAGCATATTTGGTGTTATTTGTAACCGATTGCCAGCTATAATGAAGTACAAATGATGAATTAATAGATTCTCTCTCTCTCTCTCTCTCTCTCTCCCCCTCTCCACCTCTTTCCCTTCTGCTCCTTTCCAAACCTCTGACACATTATTCCATTGTTGGAATCAGTGCATTAACCTATCTGCCAAGAAAATACTCTTGGATACTGTCCTAGGACGGTGTTATATTGGATTTGGATCAATTGTTAATCTGAAGAATTTACAGTTCATAAAATTATAATAATCATATAGAATGCAACAATCAATTAAATATTAAAAAAATAAAATAAAAAATAATAATTTAAAAAAAAAAACAAAAATAACAACCCATGTAAAACAAGATAAATAGTACAAGCTCATTAACAAATACAATGTAAAAATAAAAAATAAAAAATAATTTAAAAAATAATAAAAAACACTCAAGTTAACCTAGATTAACAACCAAACCATTATATATGAAAAAAAAATCAAAATAACATTATAGAAAATAAATTTAAAAAAATACCTATGTGTTTTTTTTAAAAAAAAGGTTAAGTTATATAAAAATAATTTATCCTGTTATAATTAACAAAAAAAACTACATTGGTTTATAATTCTTTTAAAAATATAAACTCTTTGACTTTATTTAATAAGCAACTTTTATTAGCTAGAAAGTGGTGCAAGAGTATTTGATGTCCAAAAACTAACTTTTAACTTATTTTTAACTCAAAATATCTATAAAACATTTCATGGATTTTTGTAAAGTTATTTATGACATCAAATAACTCAAATATTGGTTTAAAAATTCAAAATCAAATTGAATCTATGAAACTTTTTAAACTTGGATCTCCTATATAGGCAATAAAAAATCTAAAAAATATCTAGATGAGACTTTTCTTATCGAATGATACCTATTGAAACTAAAATTGATCTTTTTTCATAAGTTAAATCAGTGTTAATCAAAATTTTCTTTCTCAGTTGTTAAAATTTATCATTTCTCTCTCCTCTTCAATTTAGAAAGTAAAACAATAAAACTTTAAATCAAAATTAAAACTAAAATTAATCTTTTTATGGGTTAAATCAGTATTAATCAAAACTTTTTTTCTCAATCGTTAAAATTTATCATTTCTCTCTTCTTTTTCAATTGAGAAAAGTAAAATAATGAAACTTTGAACCAAAATTAAAATTTCAAAAGCCAAATGAACCTCAAAAAAGAAATTAGTAAATATGAGGATGAAAGTAAACTTTTTATGCAAACTTGGAAGTTGCCACCTACTTTTCTCACCTTTTCCACTTTGACTCTTCATCTTTCAGTCCTAACTTGGTTAACAAATCAGAGTCAATTGGAAGTTCATTTAGCCACAAAAGGACCTAGTCGAGGAGGGAAAAAATTCAATGATCAAAATGAGAATTTCTCATTTTTAAGAGAACGTATATTTATTTGTGTGAATGAAAAAAAATAGAATGTTTATTTTTTTTTATAACCATCTTACTTAACTAATATAGATTTCTTTATTTACTTTTCAGATGTTAGGCTTTACAAATAAGCAAATACCTAAAAGTTATAAAACTTGTATCAAGGTCGAATCTTGATTCCGTGCTTTAATTATTAATTACAAATTTATTTTCCAAATAAAGTAATGGTATTTTATACTAGTGCAGTTGTGCAGTCGCTCAAATAGTGTTTGGGCAGATCTGAAATTAGTCCCTCAACTTATATAGTGAGCTTCAATTGAATTCTCAAAAGAACAAAAAAAAAAAAAAATAAGAACTTCAATTGGATCTCTAAAGTTTAGATGTTATCAATTATACCCTTTTGTTTAAAATCGTCAAAATGGTTAACAAACAACACTAAAAAACCTTCAAATATACTAAAATGGCATCGTTTTTACTGCATATATAAAACTTAAACTTCAGATGAGATGCATGAACAAATCTGGACTGAGGGGTATAGTTGAAAGTGATAAATACTTGGAGGACTCATCTGATAGTTTATTTTTGTAAGGACTCATTTGATATATGGATAACTTTGTAAGGACTCAACTAGCATTAATGTCCCCCTTTCTTCTCCTAAAGTCTTGTATTTAAATCTCTTTTGTGTAATTAAAAAAAGTAATTTAAAACTAATTTCAGATTTCCCTCTTGTTTTCTTTCTGAAGGAAATAAAACACCCAAAAATAAACTAATTCTCTTGAATTAGTTTTCAATTTCTATTTCTGTCTGCAGGTAATGGACAAATAATTTTTATAATTAAGAGATAAAAGAAAGTTAGATGCTATGGCCACCCGTGAGAGCACAAGTCAATTGAGAAAGCATTGAAATAAACGGGTGATTAACATGCCTAATGGCCCTTTTAAGTTTGCATGCACAGCTTCTAGCAGTATGTATGGAAAGGAAACGCCAAATTTATTCTGTTTTTTTTTATATATAAAAAAAATAGCAATGAAAAGACAACAGGAATATTAATTCTGTCTTATGGCTTATGAAGTGCTCTTCCGGCAAGCAAAGCAGCTTCCATGACTACAGATATAACATGAATAACTTCATCAGCCCTGCATTTGTTTCCCTTGAACGTCCGCGCACCTATTTTGAAATTGCTCATACAACTGATGAAGTTTTGGCTGCACTCTTGACTTAGATAGCTATCTGCAATATTGCACCATCAACAGACAAAAACAAAATTTATTAGTTCTACAGTCACAAGCAACACGAAACAGCAAATCTCCTAGCAGTTACACACACCACAGGCAACCAAATTCATAGTTGCCCCATATCCCTGCTCTAATGGTGTTTCCATCTATAAAATCGGGCTTCCACTTTGAACTTATTTTCTATATATATACCTCCATCGACACTAATCACCATGTTATCCCAGTTGCTAAATCACAACTACTAGCCAAAAAGTAGTAGCTAAACTTTGCTTTATACCAAAATACATATTCCTGCTAGATAAATCAGATATCATGGAAGAGTACTTACTGTTCTTTGATTGGATACAGGCATCATGCTTCATGCAACAAGCATCAAGGCCATCACAAGGCTTCTCTCCTGGGCATCCACTGTATAGAAGCCCACAATACTTGCCATATCTCAAAAATGGAGGCACTGCCATTCACATAAATCAACGAAAGTTTGACCATAGAACAAAACGTATAAATCTCAAGTATATATTGATCACCATTCTAGTTAAAATACAATGAAATGTATAACTAAACACGAACATAAAAAAAAATCTGGATAATTCTAAAATGCTCATGAAGTGATTGTGTCTGCCCAATCTTACAGTTCCACCTGCCTTTGGGCGGAATTATCAGTAACTTCTTGGAAAGAAAAGAATTTGCATACCTGAGCAGTACTCTGACTCACATTTCCTACTACAATCTTTGTCCTAAGGAAAACAAAGAAATTTTCAAATATTTATTACAATGAGGCTTATGTAATAGTTTGAGAGATGATCGAACGACCAAACCAGGGAGATAGCAGAATCAGCCGTCTGAACTCCAATGTTGAGTGCTTGGACATAAAAAGATGAAAAGGGAAGGACAAGTAGGGAACAAGAAACGAGAAGAGCTAACTTCAATGAATAGAACTGGTACTCCATAGCCATTGTTTTTAGGACTGGAAAAAAAATGAAGCTTGGTTTTGCTTAAGAGGCAGAGAATAATATATGGGCAGAATAAGGAAGAAACGTAGAAAATTAAGATTAAAATATATTGAGAAACTGAAGAAAGTGAAGGATCAGCTTGTCTTGGGATGGCTCGTGATACGCTTTTGGAGCATTGTTCATGTTCTCACTTCTGATCAAATGAGATGGTTTATAATTGGAACAAATTGTGGATTGGTTGTAGGGTCCATCTCCTGTGATCATGCTCTTTCAACTAACTCTCCTCCAAAATGGTAAAAATTGTGTTTTTGATTGTTTCTTTCACGTTATATTCTAAAATTTATTTGTATAAATTAATTGAGGAAGTGCAAAGATGATTATCAGATATGTGTAAGAGTCCACATTAAGGATGATTTTAAACGAATATATTGGATACTCATCTAATCTACATTCACAATTTAGATTAGATAAATATTAATTTGTGGCCCGCAGATGGCCATAACATTTTTTTAATAAAAAAAAGGCCATTTATGCCAACATGTTTAAAAAAAGAGTTATATATATATATATATATATATATAGATTATGACTGTAGACATGTACCGACGAAGAAAAGAAGGTTGATATATAGACTAATTTAAAAAATCGAAACCTAAAAATAAATGTTTAAAACATATAGAAAACAAATAAAGAAAAAAAAATGAAGCTTAATTACTAATGATATAAATATTGAGTAATAAAATTTAAAACACATTAGCTTAAAAAAAATAAAAATCAAGAAATTTTAGAACAACCTTCTAAACTAGGCAAAGATCTCAAACCTACAGTCTATTAAATTATAGATCTGAATTGAATCAAGAAGCTTAATTCATAACCAATTTAATTTTATTAGCCCAAATAAATCAAATAAAAAACAATAAATAAAAAAATTCAAGAAAACAAGAGTCATTTTTAAAATCAGTGAAAAATCTTAGAGAAAGAAAATAAATTTAAAAATTTATTTCAAATAAAATAAATAGTAATCAAAATAATTGAAACTAAATTTGAAAGATAAAAAAAATTAAAAAGGATGAAATAGAAAAGAAATCCTAATCTTATAAATTATTTTAAAAAATTATTTGAAATATTGAAGAAAAAAATCAATTAAAAGAATTAGCCAAAAAAATCCAACAAATAACAATAAATAAAAATACTCAGTATAATTGGGTCATTTTCAAGACCAGCAAAAATTTTTATAGAAAGCAAGTTGAAAAAAAAAAACTCAATTTCTAATTGAATAAATACTAAAGAATAAAACATAAAAGAAATTAGCTTAAAAAAATAAAAATACCAATCAAATATGAGCAAATCTCATAAACATGATCAAATATTTAAAACACGAAACATATGAAACCTTGAACCTGAGTTGAATAAAGAAGCCTTATTACCAAGTAATTTAAAATTTTTAATTTAAAAAATATGTCAAAGTAAAAAAAATAGTAATCAAAAGAATAAAAATCAAATTTAATTAAAAAAGAGAGAGAAATTGTAAAATAAAATCAATTAAAAAAAATACTCTGACATCAAACAAATAGCAATGAAGAGAATAAAAACCGAATTTGAAAAATAAAAAATTAAAAGGGAATGAAATTGAAAAGACACTATAACTTTATACATTATTCAAGATAAAAAAAAATATAATAATGTGAATAGAGAATAAATATAAAGAATTAGTGAATTAAATGAAATTTTTAAGAGGCTAATATGAAAATTTAAAAGAAAAAAAGAAGAAGAAAAAGAAAAAAAATGATTATCTACATTAAATTAAAGGGAAAATTGGAACACGGGTTGCTTCATCATAAAAGGAGTGCTATAATGATTCTAACACTAGTGAAGGCAACTTTTGATAATCAAATGGCCTTCTAAACATTTTCTAAAAAACATGAGGTTGCTTACTTATTGACGATTACATATTATTTTAATATTTATTATTTATTAAAACACAAAAATAATACAAAACTAACATAATATTACAAAAATGTAAATCATTATTAAAAAAAAATCATTAACATACATTAACAGATAAAATTATAGCATATAATTAAAAAGAAAAGTTAAAGGGATCTCCACTTCACAAGATTAAATACTTTAATATATATCGATTTCTTAACTTTATGATATAGTTTTTAGTTAACATGAAAATTTCTTTATAATATTCATTAGCATACATAATTCTTAATTTATTTTTATTAAATGTATACTTTAAGTTTTGAATTTAATAATGATTAAAAAAATTACTCTAAAAACCATTAATAATATTTTCTCTTTTGTTTCACTTAAAAAATTTTCGAACCATCGTGCCAGCACAGAAAATTTATCGAGTTGCAACTAATTGTTCATCATTCCAGCAGTTCATGAAAAAAAAAATTCCCTTTTGTTTTTTCACCAACGGGCTCCTAAGTCCTAGTTCTAAGAAAATGGGCAATGACCCGTGATTTCACGGCCCCCCTCCAAACCGGAGATCAACTACTTGGCACATGTATTGATGCAAAATTTATTATGACTTGATTAGGAGGATTGTAAAGATTATTTTTTAGAAGTTTTTTTATTTAAAAATATATTAAAATAATATTTTTTTTATTTTAAAAAATTTATTATTCATATCAACAAATAAAAATATCCAAACACATTAAAAAATTAATTTAAAATAAAAAAAATGATTGAAGTACAGTCCCAAAAAATACCTTCATAAAATATGGGACCATCTACCATTCGGGATTGCAATCCACACAAAATCATGCGACTTCACTCATGATTTATACAATAAAGGGGCATGGAGTGCATTCCTAAGTTCCAGCCCAGTCACTAATCAAAGCTAATTACAAAAACGAACATTGTTTAATGTCCTCTCATGGAAACTAGCTAATTGCCTGAAAGGAGGTATTTGTCAGAGCCCTCCCACTTGTTATTTTTTAAAAAGCTAGGATAGCTTCCATGCTTTACAGCCATTGATGCTGAATTTCTTAAGCCTTCCACAGAGAATGAGGATAAATTTTCACATGTTAACTCCACCTTCCGACCAATCCAAACCATGAATCTTTGCACAAGTTGTCAGGTTCAAGTTGTTGTTTGCAGCTGTAGCCAGCTGAGAACCTATCATTTCCATATGCACTCCAAGATGATTAAGTTTACAATATAGAATTATTAAGTGGAAGAATACAAACAGTAGATTTCTGATAACATGTTCAAGCTAGAGTCATTCAACCCAACCATAGTTATTAAACCTTTCCCCAGATTTATCCAGCCAAGATTTTGCCTATTTAAAAACTAGCCACGATCCTAGATCGCTTGGGTCCGAGATCAGTCTGCTGCTCCGACCGGGTTTCTTATTTATCATTCAAACATGCGTGATCCTAATATCACAACCATTTTCCTATAATAAAAATTGAAGATGGACGCAATCTCCTTGTGAAAATGTACACAGCAGTTGCGACCCTAAATTTAATTAGGGTTTTGCAATTTTTTATTGTTCATCGTTGTCCTCTTTAATTTGAAAGAATCAAACTTCTCACACCCAGGCTAGATAAATAACCTTCCTCTTTTTTCCATCATCCTTGCTGAGAAAAATAAGCGCAAAACCCATCAACATCAACTAATAATAATTAAAAAAAAATGTAGAGACAAATCAACCATGGTTACAGTATAATAAAATAAAATAAAATAACCATCTCTTGAAAAGTTAGGTGCTTTCATCACTCAACCTTAAGTCCAAGGCTTGAAAGAGAAACCAAATAATGTCCATTTCAGTTTTAAAAACCTGGAAGGAAATTGTAAGTTTCTAAAATATAGCAGGTAAGCAAAAAAAAAAAAAAGAAGACCAAATTGTAATTATATGTTCCTAGAAAATGTAAGAACAACACAACCCTCACGTGTTGGCAAATGAAATTTTTTGGAGTATGTTTTTTATTTGATTATATAATAAGAAACATTGACATGCGCACAAAAGAATATGAATAAAATTTAAGGAGAACGTTTTAAAAAAATCATGAGATATTGTTCGAAAATAGTGTTTGATGATATTATAAAAAAATGCCATAATCTTGTGAAAATACAAAGTGAAATTTTAAGGGTGTCTAAGAAAATATATCCTAAATATATCTTTAGCTATTTAGTTTAAATTCATGAATTTAAATTTAACTTGTATGAAAAAACATAAAGGCATTTACAATAATAGCCCTAACCTTAGATCTGGTAGGGTCAGCCAGTGTAGATCCACGCATCTAGTTCTTTTTTTCCTGTTTTGAAATGGATGGTCGATGTATCACTTGTCTAAATCATTATGATTGGAGAGATAATAAAAATTTTAGATTTGTGGTTTTTGGAACCCAAAAGGCAATTTTTCAAAGTTTTTTCACCTCAGAACAATATTAGAATGTCAATAAACCAATTTCTCAACTAAAACACCCCTAAATCAATTAAATAATATAAAATTAAATTAGTAAAAAAAACTAATTCTCAGCTTCAATCTATTTTAAAAAAAAAAATAAAAGCTAAAAACACTTTAATAAAAAAAATTATCAAATAAAACCTGCTAACATAAAGATTGACTTTTATATTATTGAATATTTTTTATTAAATAAAACCTACTAATATAAAGATTGATTTTTATATTGTTAGAATATAATAAACTGATAAATTTCTCTCTTTCACCATTTTTGTGGTAATTTTCTCTCTTTTTACTTGAAACGGGAATTAAGAAAAGAGCAAAATAAATTTTTAGATCAAAACTAAAATTTTAAAAACTAAAAGGATCTTAAACAAAGTCCACATAGAATATAGGGAGTAAATGTAACTTTTATGCATGAGTTTGAGATGGGACATCATTTGTTTTTGTTTCTTAGTATCATCCTTATTCTTTTAATTATGTCTTAATAGTACAAATTAAAATCATATCTCACTAAATTAACTTTTAATCGAGCTTTAAATCTTATCAAAACTTTTATTATTCAATAAAATACATAAAAAAATCTTTGAACTGAAAAAATATTAAAAAATAAAACAAAAAAAAATTGAAAAAAAACTGATTACTAAAATAATAATAAAAAATCACCACTCCAATCAATAATAAAATGTGAGAAGTTGCATAATTAAAAAAAGTTGGGAGAAAAACACCTTTAATGATAAAACTTTCC